CTACAATCCCACTTCTCCAACATAAAAACCTTAAAGCCTCCTGCAGGGCAGCTGGGCCCCCATTACACCAGTAATTGCTGCCATCATCAAGCTCAGCATGTGCATGATCTGCCTGAGTACTTCACAGAGAGGTCTGAACATCCTAACCAAGGAAACCAACTTTCTTATTTTCTACTCTGTAAGAAATTACTTTGCTGAAATGAATCTATCCTATACCCTAGGAAAACAATCACCTGGGATGGGAAAACATTTGACCTTTCCCCTACTAAATATCCAACCTCTCAAAGTACTGGAAGACTAGGTTAAAGTCAGAGGTCAATTTTTCCCTGCACTGTGAAAACAATAAAAAATTGTCTAGAAATGGAACTATAGACACTTACTGAAGTGCGAAAAATGCGACTAATTCTGGCAGGATCATTGTAAAGTTCTGGTGTTTTGCTGGAGGAGAACAAAGGGGAAATCTCAAAACTACCAATATAGTATGCCTTTCCTGGTCTGAGTAGCTAACCTTAGAAATTTCTGAGAAGAATGGTGTATGAGAACATACAGGTATGCATCCTGAATATCCAGTGTAACCATAAAAACTCCCTGCAATAGCAAATTCCTTACTAAACAAAAGCTGTACATTTTAAAACTTTATAAAGGAGAAACTCGATTGTTTTGAAAATCAACCTGTATTTTCCTAAACTCTTGTACTAGCAACACATGGGAGTAAAACCCTTTGAAAAAGCGCTGGTTCCCCAGGACCTGCAAGTGAACTGTTGATCTGAAAGGAAACAAATAAATATTAGTGCATCTGCTTTCAATTGGTATTCTTAAGAGGTCTGTTACATAAAACTGTTGGGAGAAGAAGGACAAGAATTCTAGGAGATAACCTTCCCTTATGATTTGACACACAAATGGGTTTACACAGACTTCTTCCCACTGTTCATAAAAAAGAAAAGCCTTCCTCCTACCCCCCTCCATAGGGGTTCACTAGAAGTGAGCAGGACACCAAGCTTTCCCAAGTCTTGTCAAATGACCATCACTTTCTGATGGTCTGATCTTTACTGTAACCTGCCTAAGACCTGCTTTGTTGGTTACAGAACTTTTTCTTGCTGCAAAATCTCTAATGTTTAGGGGGAAATTTCTTTCTCTTCTCAGAATAACAAGTCAAAACAGTCTCCAAACCAGAACCAAAAATTAAATGACCTCAAAAAACACCACAAAGTCTACTCTTAAAAGCAAGATCCCATTCCCAGGCCCCCAACCAAATGGCTCTCCTAGCAGAATTGGTCAGAGTGGCAGTCCTAGCTGTGGCCTTGACCGACTCAACAGGGGCATTTGCCAAAAAAAGCCACTGATTTAGCAACTGAAGACGAAGACTCCTTAACCTGTTCAGTAGGTGTATCTGAAGAGAGAAGGTTTCCCAGTCTCTCTACCCACGCATCCAGATTCCAAGCTAAACAAGTGGATGCCAAAAACATCCCAGGCTCTCTTACGCAAAGATTCAAACAAATGGCACCCTCCCCAACCTATAACTTGCCTTTGCAGCATGAAGCACATGGAAAGGCAATGCATGTCAAAAAACAACAAACAAAAATTTTCAGCTCACTTACCAGACAGCCTTAGAGTTAGTTTGTTTACATTAGTCGCCCTTCCATGTGCTCCTTGCTGCAAAAGGCCAGTTATAGGTTGGGGTGGTTGCAAGTTGATTGTACTGTTGGTTAATTGGTGAGGGGACGCACTGGATACCTTTGCTACCATTGTGCTATTGCTGGGTGTCAAGTGTCCCTGTAGCTTTAAGGAGGGGTGGGCTCCCTCCAGGCATACCTGCCCTTAATCCATTTATTATTATATATGTGCTCCAACTTTGGAGACTCTCAAAATTTATAGTTAGGACTGCAGTACCCTAGGGTCTCTTAAGCAAAGATTTAGCCTTCTTATCCATTTGATCCTTCATCTATCCTGTATTCTTAAAAGATAAATCTTTTGGCACCTGTGACAAGGGTGCTTTTTTATTTTGGGCACTTTAAAAATATATTTTATAAATAAAATATAAAAATATATCTCCCAGGACCATATCCTCATAGAGACTGATAGACTGGAAAGGTTCTACCTTTTTCAATTCAGAAGACTCCTATAAATAACATCCTATGCTGAAGGGATATTCTCAATCTGTTCAAAGATATAAACAGCCTTTAGAAGTTCTGTTCTGTTAGTCTCTTCAAAAGGGAATAAAAACCGGTTATAACTTCCCATTGCATCTTCCTTATCTACTTCAGAGACAGCCTCACCTTTAAAAGAAGCCACATGCATTCATCCCTGCCTCCAAATCTGAATGTGTCTGAGAGCTCAGAAATCTAGCTGGAGGAATTAAAGGTCTGCAATCTTTACGCTGATGGGAAGGTTTCTTTGTGGAGGGCCCAAGATTTGAAACAGCTAAAAAGGTGTGAAATGCCAAGACTTCCTCGTCCTGCACTGAATTCATAAAATCTTTCACAATTTCACAAGCAGTCTCCAACCCTGAAAATACTATACACTTTTTTTCATAGAGCATTGCCAAAAGAATCAGAGCCTGATTTACCATTGCCACACTTTTTGATATATTTATATGGCTTTTACCCTAGAGAAAATATAGGGAAATATTAAGATGTAAAGCCTCAACAGTCCTATTACCTCCTGGATGGTAGCTCAAAACACCCCAGTTTTACCTCATGCAACGAAGCTCTAGTCAGAAGATGAGGAGCCAGGTTTTATCTGTGGGATAACCTCTTGGAGATCTGCATTTTCCCTCTTGCATAGCCAGGTACAAGGTGCAGAGGAGACCAAGGCCACTGTTTTGGTAAAGGCATGAGCAGCATCCAAGAAAAGGGACAACAATCCCACCTCCCCATAATGCTTGAACAGTATTCAATGAAAGCGAGCCCTGCTGTCATAACTTCCACTGTGCCGGAACAGCGCCATCATCCACCACCAGAAAAGATGATGGGTGCCATCTTGCAACAATTCTGAGACCCTGCCAGCTCCAGAAACTGCGGACGCCAAAGTCAGACACAACCAGCACCCCTGGCTATCTGCCAACAAGGGAAACGGTTCAGCTACAATACAGAAAACGAATTTCATAGTGATTGAGTAAGTATGAACAGCATGTAATACAGCATTTATTGATCATTTTTTATGATGTGGGTTTAGTAACACTTTACATTAAGGACAACAGTGCTGCTTGGCAAAAATTATATTATATACGCACACTTAAAAAAATATATACACTGCTCAACAAAATTATAGGAACACTTTTTAATCAGAGTACAGCATCAAGTCAATTAAACTCCTGGGATATTGATCTGGTCAGTTAAGTAGCAGAGAGGGTTGTTAATCAGTTTCAGCTGCTTTTAAATTAACAACAGGTGCACTAGATGGGCAACAAGGAGATGAACCCCAAAACAGGAATGATTTTACAGGTAGAGGCCACTGACATTTTTTTACTTACTCATCTTTTCTGCCTGTTTTTCACTAGTTTTGCATTTGGCAGTGTCACTACTGGTAGCATGAGGCGATGCCTGGATCCTACACAGGCAGTCCAACTCCTCCAGGATGGCACATCAATACGTGCCATTTCCAGAAGGGTTGCTGTGTCTTCCAGCACAGTCTCAAGAGCATGGAGGAGATTCCAGCAGAGAAGCAGTTACTCTAGGAGAACTGGACAGGGCTGTAGAAGGTCCTTAACCCATCAGCAGGACCGGTATCTGCTCTTTTGTGCAAGGAGGAACAGGATGAGCACTGCCAAGAGCCCTACAAGATGACCTCCAGCAGGTCACTGGTGTGAATATCTCTGAGCAAAAAGTCAGAAACAGACTTCATGAGGGTGGCCTGAGGGCCCGACGTCCTCTAGTGGGCCCTGTGCTCACTGCCTGGCACTATGGAACTCAATTGACATTTGCCAATGAACAGAATTGGCAGGTCCACCAGTGGTGCCTTGTGCTTTTTACAGATGAGCAGGTTCACCCTGAGCACATGTGACAGACGTGAAAGGGTCTGGAGAAGCCGTGGAGAATGTGTACTGCCTGTAACATTGCTCAGCATAACCATTTTGTTGGTTGGTCAGTGATAGTCTAGGGAGGCGTATCCATGGAGGGACGCACAGACCTCTACAGGTTAGACAATGGCACCTTGACTGCCATTAATTAACAGGATGAAATCCTTGGACCCATTGTCAGAACCTACGCTGGTGCAGTGAGTCCTGGGTTCCTCCTGGTGCACGACAATGCCCGGCCTCATGTGTTGAGAGTAGGCAGGCAGTTCCTGGAGGATGAAGGAATTGATACCATTGAATGGCCCCCACACTTGCCTGACCTAAATCAAATAGAACACCTTTGGGACATCATGTTTCGGTCAATGCGACGCCGCTATGTTGCAGACTGTCCAGGAGCTCAGTGATGCCCCGGTCCAGATCTGAGAGGAAATACCCCAGGACACCATCCATTGTCTCATTTGGAGCATGCCCCGACGTTGTCAGGCTTGCATACAAGCACCCGGGGGCCATACAAACTACTGACTACCATTTTCAATTGCTGCAATGAAATTTCAACAATATGAACTAGCCTGCTGAATCATTTTTTCACTTTGATTTTTGGGGTGTCTTTGAATTCAATCCTCTGTAGGTTGATCATTTTCATTTCCATCAGATGATGGGGCATCCTTACATTCCTAACACATTACCCAGTCCATATCAGTATAAATATGAAGCATGATATATATATATATATATATTAAACAATGACGGGCGCAAGGCGGCTCTCTCGTTCTAAGCGCGCAGCAAGGCGATCGGCGGTGCACTGTGTCCCTCGGACACAGCGGATCAGCAATCAACAGAAAAAAGCCAAAGATGTTGTTTCAGTCATGTGATAGGCTGTGTCCAATCACAGCTGATCGCATGTAAATTGGGAAATGCCGGTCATTGTCACGCTGACAGCTCGAGAGGAGAGGAGAGCCGGTAATCGGCATCCCTCAGAGGGGATATGTACACTGATCATCAGGGCACCTATCAGTGTCCATCAGTGCAGCCTATCAGTGCCCATCACTGCAGCCTCATTAGCGCACATCAGTGAAGGAGAAAATTTTTATAACAAAAACTAAAAAAAAACTTTTTTTTTCAAAATTTTCAGTGGTTTTTGGTTTGTTTAAGAAAAAATAAAAAAAAACCAGAGGTAATTAAATACCACCAAAATAAAGCTCTATCTGTCACAAAAAAAATAATAAAAATTTCATATGGGTACAGTGTTACCGCAATTGTCATTCAAAGTGCAACAGCACTGAAAGCTGGAAATTGGCCTGGGCAGGAAGGGGGTATAAGTGCCCTGTAGGCTAGTTGTTTAAAAAATAAAAAAAAAAAAAGAGCCACTACACCCCCAAATAAGGATTTTGTGTGTGGACTACATGTGCTTTTTCTTTTTTAATTATGTTGTGTTTCTCTCTGACAATTTCTAAAATCATGTATCAATCAGTTGGACAACCAAAGTCAAATCACTTTCTATTTGACTCAAAATGGTTACTTGCCAAGTAAATTTGAAAGCAAAAGCAATAGTTTTATTTGTGTTTTACACATAAGGAGCTATGCTTCTCATAAACAAAAGACTCAGGGCTTGCTCAAACCATGCCCTTTGTGCAGCATTTTTCTGCACATCACCATATATGTAAGCTATGAACAGGACACACACATACAAAGGAAGTTTTCTATGTGCCCTATTCACACTATACATGTACTTTGCTGTGCAGAAAACAATGAACAAGGCTTAATAAGAACATCTAGAAGATCATTGCTGACTTGTGTGTATGATTATGATAATCCTTGCTCCATTACCCAATGTGTCACAGACCTGGAAGAAACATGCAGCCAATGAAGTCTGACTTTCCATCCTGCATGATCATTGCATGTCAATGACTTACCTGGTAATGGAATCAGAATTAATGTGGGAGTAAACTCCCTTTTTTCCCTTTGTACCTACAGGTAAGTCTATAATAAGGCTTACCTATAGGTACCATAATAATCTCCTAAATGTGCAACGTTTAGGAGATATTTACCTGTGTAGCCACCAGTGGCACAAAGCAAGGTCCATAAAGACATGAATGAGCGAGTTGGGGTGGAGGAATTTGACTGGCCTGCACAGAGTCCCAATAGAATACCTTGGGGATGAATTAGAGCGGAGACTGCAAGCCAGGCCTTCTCATCTGACATCAGTGCCTGACCTCACAAATGCACTTCTGGAAGGAATGGTCAAACATTCCCATAGACACATTCCTAAACCTTGTGGACAACCTTCCCAGAAGAGATGAAGCCATCATAGCTACAAAGGGTGGGACAACTCAATATTGAACACTACAGACTAAGATTACGGAACTCACACAGTGTGGTAACAATCATTAAAACTCAATATTTTCATTAGTCAGGAATAAAAGGTGCTGCACAATCTGAAATTCTGGAACACTTTGCTAGTGTTCTTTAGGAGCCATCCTTCACAGAGGCTGTCGAGAAAACAATTGCCACTTGTAATTCAATTTAGTTTTCATGTAACGATTTTATTGTCATGTTAAATAGTGACAGCAAGCTGTATTGACTAAATTTAAAAATTAACATGAAATGTTCTTAGGCTGTTAAGCTTTTCACTCTTCGTAGGTAAGAGGGATGGAAATGGCGTACATACAGTAATTTACACACATGCACACACCAATGTTCTCATATATATGTCTGTAAACTGTAATCTGATGCCATAAACTTGTTTGGGTGTGTTCATGTAGAACAGAAACAGAAACTAACTATGTGGTCCAAGTAACTTACTATATATAATACGCAGAGTCCATGAAATGGAACCCTGTAAACAATCATGGACAGATAGATACACTGGAAAACTTTGTTATTTTGCCCAGATAGGCAAATATAGAGCAGAGGAAAGTATACCCTTAAAAAGTGAAATGTTTCTGTACCTGTTACCAACATGTTTACTTAAAGTAAAAGCATACCTGTTGCCTACAACAGGCACACAAATACCATAGCAAAACCAAAAGTAATAAAGCCTCCTAGATTCCTCATTTACCCATTGAAACTGCAGTCATATCTGCCCTAACAATTCCAAAAAAATGGATTCCAAACCCAGCTCAATGGCCAACAGATCTTTCTTATGCTTAATTTAAAGTAGCCGTACTCTCTAAATCTCCTGTGAGCTGTAGTATGGTAGTCTAATTCCAACAGTTGTTTTTTCAAAAGTTTTAAATCTGCATGGTTTACTAAAACTATACCTGGTGATCCTGTCATAAAAAGTCCTTATTCAGGTCACGCTGTCACATGATTGCCAGGTGGAGACTACAAGTGGCCATGTCAACACACAATGTGCCACTCTTGTCCCTGTCAGGAAGTAGGATGTGCATCCAGCACTGGAGCAAATTAATGTATCCATGAAGTGGCTGAAAGAGGCTGGAGGAGTTCAGCAGCATTGAGATACAAAAAAGGGATCTAAAAAAAAACAGCGAAAAAAAAAAAAAAACAATTTCCAGCTCAGTCAGGTATGAAGGTTTCTGCCAATGGTGATTGCACACAAAAAACAATAAAATTTAACAGACTGACAGAGCTGAACAAATTCCAGCCAGGTGGACAATATCCTAGCGTATGTAAACCCAAAAATAAATATGCAATATATTGCAGCGTACCAATCCTTAACTATTTCAATACCGGGCAATTTTTCCCCTTCCTCCCCAGGCCATTTTTCAGGTTTCAGCGCTCTCACACTTTGAATGACAATTGCGCGGTCATACAACACTGTACCCAAACTAAAATTTTATATCATTTTCTTCACACAACTAAAGCTTTCTTTTGGTGGTATTTAACCACCTTCCACCCGCCCTATAATACAATGATTGGCGCAAGGTGGTTCTCTCGTTCTGATAGGACGTCATATGACATCCTACCATTCTCACTGCGCATGCGCGGCACAGGGAGTGTGCAGTGCGGCAATAGCCGGTCCGCTGTGTCCCTCGGACACAGCGGATCACGGAAAGAGCCGAAGATGTCGGCTCGGTCATGTGATCAGCTGTGTCCAATCACAGCTGATCACATGTAAATAGGGAAATGCCGGTTATCTGCATTTCTCTCCTCTTGAGCTGTCACGCTGACAGCTCGAGAGGAGAGGAGAGCCGGTAATTGGCTTTCCGCAGAGGGGACATGTACACTGATCATCAGGGCACTGATGATCAGTGTGCCCTGATGATCATTGTGGCCCCAGAAGTGCCACCTGTCAGTGCTCATCAGTGCCAGTGCCCATCAGTGCCACGTGCCAGTGCCCATCAGTGCCACATATCAGTGCACATCAATGCCACATATCAGTGCCCATCTGAGCTGCCTTTCAATGTCACCCATCAGTGCCAGTCAGTGCCGCCTAACAGTGCCATATATCAGTGCTGCCCTTCGGTGCCCATCAGTGATGCCTGTCAATGCCCATCAGTGCAACCTTCTAGTGCCTCCTCATCAGTGGCCATCAGTGCCACCTATCAGTATCCATCAGTGCAGCCTATCAGTGCCCATCACTGCAGCCTATCAGTGCCCATCACTGCAGCCTCATTAGCGCACATCAGTGAAGGAGAAAAATCACTTATTTACAAAATTGTATAACAAAAACTAAGAAAAAACTTTTTTTTTTCAAAATTTTTAGTGGTTTTTGGTTTGTTTAATAAAAAATAAAAATCCCAGAGGTGATTAAATACCACTAAAACAAAACTCTATCTGTCTCAAAAAAATGATAAAAATGTCATATGGGTACAATGTTGCATGACCGCGCAAATTGTCATTCAAAGTGCGACAGCGCTGAAGGCTGGAAATTGGCCTGGGCAGGAAGGGGGTATAAGTGTCCTGTAGGCTAGTGGTTAATCACCGCAGGGGTTTTTATTTTTGCTAAATTAACAAAAAAAGACCGAAAATTTTGAGAAAAAAAAAAAAAAACGTTTTTCTTTGTTTCTATTATAAAAAGTTTGCAAATAAATAATTGTTCTTCATAAATTTAGGCCAAGATGTATTCTGCTACATGTCTTTGGTGAAAATAACCCAAATTAGGATGTATTTTTTTTAGTTTGTAGGAAAGTTATAGAGTTCACAAACTATGGTATAGATCTGAATATTGATCAATCCTGAAGTACTGACAGCCAATCTAATTTCTTGAGATCCGAGAATGTCAGAACAGTACAGATATCCCCCAAATGACATCTTTTTTGCAAAGTAGACAGTCCGACGTACTTCATAAGAGGCATGGCAAGTTTTTTGAAGTTGTATTTTTTTGGTCATAATTTTTCAGAAATTATATTTTCACTATTTTTTTTTTTTTAACATACTGTCACCAGTGCAGTACAGAGTCATCATAAAACTGGCATGGCGGTGATCAGGGACACTGACTGGTGACAGTATGAAAAAAAAAATATATTTTTTATTACTTTTTTTTTTTTTTTTTTTAGATTTTTTTTTTCATATTATTTCACTATGTCCAAAGTAGTACAATGTTACCATAGTAACATTGTACTACTTTGGGGAAGTGATCAGTTTGTTTGTTTTTTTTTTTACACAATTTGCTTATAGCAAAGAATTACTTTGCTATAAGCAAGCATTTATCTGAATGACATCGATTCATTTTTTTTTTTTTATGCTTAGCTGTGATTTGGCCACAGCTAATCACATGACATGTGCATGTGATCGCTGTGACCATTCACAGCTAGACACTAGTATATAATGGATGGCATGAATGAAGCCATCCATTGTATGCAACTGTCATGTGACCTGCTGTGATTGGTCACATGGTACCAGCAACGGGGACGATACTCAGATCTGTCATCGGCCGTGTTCGAGGTACACGGCCGGTGATAGATCGCGCCGCTGCGCAGCTCTGCAAGCGCAAAAACTGCGCATGCCCGGGAGAACGCCAAATTGCGTCCACCCAGAAAGCTAAAGCATTTTGCCGGCCGCCAAATGGCTATTGGCTGGGCGGCAAATGGTTAAAGTAAAACTACACGCAACACATTTTTTGGAGGATAATAACCACCCCTTGCAGTTTTTTTTATTTTTTTGCCGTCTATGTCCCTTTAGGGAGATTTGCCCACACTTCCTGTCCCATGCTCAAAACAGGAAGTGAGAGGAGAGGAAACCCCTGCAAATGAAAGGGATCCATTACACCCCCCCCCCCCCCCCCATCCCCTGGGTTACCAGAATAAGTGTCCCCATTGGAAGATTTCTCCTCTATTACTTTTCTGGGAACAATCCCAAATGTGGCAATTTCTTTTACTTTCACTTTTGATAATGGTAAATAGCACACATAGAGAGGTGGAATCTCCCTAACAGGCACAGAGGTAGAAATAAAATCTGACAGGGTTTCTAATCCACCTCTACTGTCTCAAATGAGAGAAAAAAAAAAAAAGGTTTTGCTATTAGTTATACTACATTAGTTATGCTACATTTCTGGGGGTTTTTTTTTCCTTTATTTTCACCTGGTGTGGCCAGCAACACTCTGGCCAGCAGAAGACACTCTACTTGGCTGAGGAGCAAGTTTGGACAACAGCTTTGTCAAACTGCAGGTTAGGCTGGCCATCTTACTATTTTCTGTCCAATTTCTGCCCAATTTCCTTTAGATTTACCTGTAATGGAGGACTTGCAACTGAAAGTGTTGTTAGTTTTGACCTCATATTATATGGTTTTTGGTAAACAAACCTTCTCAGGAAAATGGTCAAACTGGCAGACTGTTAGATGCATTAGCAAATTTAGACTTTATATGTGACCAACAAATGAAAGCCAAACTCCAGCTGACATTTTTTTAAACATCTATAACAGCAGATTTTTAACTTCGACATAAAAATTTTACAGAAAATAGTAAAAACAGACCATTTTAAGTACCAATGTCAGTGTTAAATGATTTGCTCAACCCTCTAACTGCTACTTTGTTCAGACAGCTTATTCTGTTAAAATAGATTGCCAGAAATGGCCTAAAGCTGCCCATACTGTAACTGGATCAAAATTCAGTCAGCTCAGCAGGGACCAGAAGAATTTCAATCCATCTATGGCCGTTCCTACTTTTGTTTCTGTTGGAAAACTTTCAATTAGCCAGCTACAGCCACCACTGAGTAGTGTATTCTGACAGTGGAGGAGTCCCGCTGTCAAAATACAATGGCACAGCAAGGAGGTTTCCTGGACAGATCACCAGATGAAAATAAAGGAAAAAAGCCTAATGAAAAGAAAATGAATGCAGCCATTACATCTAATGATTGGCAAACTGCAATATATTACATTCTTGTTTTTGAATTAAATACAGCTTTAAAGTATAACTAAAGGCAAAATGTTTCTTTCGGTCAGTTAATTTGTCAGTCACTTTAATTTACAGATTTCCTCTCACTTGGCTACAGGAAAGGAAGTGAAAGGAAATCTCTGCAACAGGACACAGATGCCAAGAAAAAAAAAAAATCTTACAGGGGTTAACCCTCCCTTACTTTCTCCAAAATGAAAAAAAAAAGTGCCTATAGTTCTACTTTAAGCCTTTTCCTTTAAAGCGGTAGTAAACACCGCTGATACACTTGGACCTACAGGCAAGCCTAAAATAAAGCTTACCTGTAGGTACAAGGAATATCTCCTAAACCTGCACCATTTAGGAGATATTCTGTTTTGTGCAGCCTGTGACGTCACCAGCACATGCGCTCTCAAGGGACGACATACTCATGCCATCCCTTCAGAGCTCTGTGCCACGGCCATGACTCTTGGCCGCATGTGTGGGAGTGATGTTGTTGCAGCTCGACCATTTAAACAGCCGCAGCCCATGAAACTGGAATAAAAAGACCGGGTGAAGATGGAAGCCCTGTGAGCGGTGACAGAACACTGCTGGAGGGCTTTGTTCTAAGGTAAGAATTGTTTAATATGCTAGAATGCAATGCACATTAGCACATTATTATATTACCTTGCAGGAGAATTGTTTTTTCTGTGACTACTACTGCTTTATATTAATATGAATAGAAGCAAATGCTTCATGGTTCCATAAGAGATGAAATAACTTCTGAATTCTGTGAGACTTCAGTCCTTTAAAAGCTGCATACAGGTCAAGATTTTAGAGGAGCGTTTGTTTCTTGGAGGATTTTACATTTCAAATAATATTTTTGTAAACCTTTCTGGAACAGCAAAAAGGTAGCTGTATTTTGTAAACCTGATTTGGCACCAAAAGGACAACTAATACTAAACTGGTACTTCCTGCATACTAAGCAAACAATCATTACTAGAAATTTGAACAAAACTTCTAAGCCAGTAACTTAAAATGGTAGTAAACCTCAAACATGAAAAATGAGCAAAGCATATCCATCTATAGTATGTACTTTTCTCAATCCAAAGCATCATTTCTGTCTGGTGCTTTTGCTGCTATTTGCATGAGTCACTTTTGACAAGTTTTCCTGACACCAAGAGAAAAATGGTGACAGGGGAGGAAGTTCCAACACACAGCCTGTGACTGAAAGCCTCAGCTCTGTTCCTGTGTGAAAGGGGGTGTGTCTCCTCATACCAATCCCCTCTCTGAGGCCTGCAGAGTGTAACTTCAACTCCCTATTCCCTGCTTTCTGAAGCTTGGATAACCTGTATAAATTCTGCTCTGTAAAAAAGAGATAGCTGCAGGGTGACAGGTACAACTTATATAGGAGGTACGGTTTAATCTCTGTGTATCATCTGAGGCCAGTTACTTCACTGGGTATATTCAAGGGTTTACAATCAATTTAAACAATATCAGAGGAAGCTCCTATCTTAGCCTCTGCTTGATCTGCACTTGCCATGGTGCTGCACATGTGATCAGATGACACCAGCCATTTGATGACTTCACAGTTCAAAGCACAAGCAACTGTGACAGTTATCATTTGCTGCATGCCTTGAATGAAACGGCTTTTGGAAACAGTTAAATCAGTGGGCTTTTCCACAGTTTTTTTTAATCCCATCACAGACAAAACATTGTCTGCTGGTTCTGAAACAGCATACATCGGACGGCTGGCATCACACTATTAACTATACACCCAAAAGCCAAAATCTCAAAGACGTTTTAAAGGCTAGGTTCACCTTTAACATTTAAAATCAGTGCAGCTATGCAGGGCCCTGCCTGCACAGCTGTGTCATTCACTCACAGGGATCTGTGAATGAATAAACCACAAGTCCCGTCGTCCACTTAGATATACAGCTTGTAGTTCTCAGTGGACTACGAGTGTGTAATCCATTCTCTCTCCTTCCAGCGCTCTAACTGAAAGTCTGTACAGAGGGAACATCTTAAAAAAGGAGAACATATCCTTTAACACAGTAATGTAATTTACATTTTAAAAGCTGTTTGCAGACCTTTCAAGGCTTCATACACACTAGATAAGCTAAAAGCTGGATGTTTTGGGGTTTTTTTAGGGCGCTTAGAAGTGCTTAGCCTAGTGTGTAAGCTATGTTTAATAGCTTCAGCGTTAAGGAGCGGGGCTGCTGGCGTCCTTAACAACCAGCGAATAGCTGGTTGTTAGGGCCAATTCACATGAGTGCGTTAATCTGCTTTTTAGAGCAGAGGTAAAACACAGATCAACAGAAGGACATCGGAAAAAACTATTTCCAATGTGTCCTATTCACACCATAATGCTGCATTGACCTACGTTGCGCTAAAATGCAGCATGTATGCATTTTAGTACAATGCACCGGATATCCTAAGAAAATGCAGTACGCTTTAACACGCACTAAAACGTATGTCAATGGACATCAAAATGTATGTCAATGTATGTCAGCGCGTAAGAAAAATGGTTGGAAATGTACATCCATTTTTCATACATTTTAGCGCAAGCTAGTGTGAATTGGCCCTTAAGAAGTGAGCCAGGAAGCCAGCCACTGTGTTTTACCAATGGATGAGTCATCAGCTGTCAGCGGGGTCCCTGACAGCTGAATGTAAAGAAAAAAACATTGCCAGCAATTAAAAAGTGAAAAAAAACAGCGTGGGGTTCCCCCCAATCCGTACCAGGCCCTTTGGGTCTGGTATGGATTTTAAGAGGAACCTCAAGCCAATATGAGAAAAAATTAAAATCCATACCAGACCCTTATCCGAGCATGCAGCCTTGCAGGCCAGGAAAGGAGAGGGGGGGACAAATGAGCGCCCCCTTCTCCTGAACCATACCAGGCCACATGCCCTCAACATGGGGGGTCCTCCCAAAGCACCTTGTGCCCATGTTGATGGTGGCAAGGCCTCTTCCCCACAACCCTGGCCAGTGGTTTGGGGGTGGGGGGCTTATCAGAATTTTGAAGCCCCGTATAACAAGGGGGGCCCCAGATCATGCCCCCAGATCAAGCCATTTAATAACTAAGGGGCAGGGCCATCTGGTGACATCACCGGGTGACCCCACTCCCTGTTGACGTCATTGGCCTAGCATGCACCAGTCGATGACATCACAAGGGGCAGGTTCACTTGGTGTCATAACCAGGTGGCCTTTAGTTATTTAAGAGCCGTCAGACAGTGGGAGCCTTTGTCGCGACTGGAGATTTTTTTTTTCCTTTCTTACTTTTTTGGGGTCGGAGGTGGATCTACACTGGGGGGGCATTTTTTTTTTTTTTTCTTCATAAAGGACTTGTAGAAAACTTTTTGTAGGTGAATGACTAGGGGTAAAATGTACCCCTAGTCATTCACATGGGGGAGGGGATCCTGCACGCAGAACCCCACAACCACCAGCCAGGGTTGTGGAGAAGAGGCCCTTGTGCCCATCAACATGGGGACAAGGTGCTTTATGGGAAGGGGGTGTTGCTTGTTCCCCCCCCTTTCCTGCCAGGCTGCATACTCAGATAAGGGTCTAGTATGGATTTTTGAGGGGACTCCATGCCATTTTTTTTTAACTTTTTGTGTGGGTGTTGCCCTCAAAATCAATGCCAGACCTAAAGGAATGATATTTAGCTTGCCCAATCACAGTGTATCACAAACAATTGGCTTTTTTAAATAAAGTGCTAGATTTCTTCTTTTTTTTCTGGCAAGACAGTACTGCTGATCTCCACTTCTGACATAATGTTCTCCAGTGATGGCTGCGTGCTATTTCTAGGGACTTGTTTAAACTGTATGCATGTGTTTGTAAGCGCAGTACCAAAGCATATGCAAGAAAATTACAGTATTTAAACACTTTCAGGTGCATTTAAAATTTACACCATGCTGCATTTGTTTTTACACTGGAATAAAGACAAACACAGGTACATGCAACAAATTAAAAATAAATAAATAATGCACAAAAACAAAATCACCCTGTAAACTCAAAGTTGTAAATGCACAAGTGGAAAGGCATACTGAACACAGGGTTTACAGTGGAAACAAGCCCTAAGGGGAGGGTCCATGCCTGTGTAAAAGTGGAACTGAAAGTAAAAATACTTACCTTAGTTCCACTGGTAGATAGCCTGTGAAGTCCTTTGCCAGCACCCTTTCTTTAGGTTTTTCTGGATGCCAGTCTTCAGCCACATTGAATTGCTGGTGGAGGATGGCATCACTGCTGAACATTGTTCAGCTCAGTGTACATTCTATAAGACTGCGAACAAGCAGGCAAGCACATTTCATTGCCGGAGAGACTTCGGCAATGAAGATGCTGTCTGGTCGCAATTTTGAATATTTTAACTTGTGGTCTCTGTCAAAAACCCACGTAACAGGGTGACAACACAGCAGCATAGTTGGGGGACAAAAGGAAGAGCATGGTCACCCTCTATCAGAAAAGGTTTAGAGAAAATCTTCACCCTAACAGTGAAGTTGTCCTGCCTTGCCTCCTCTCACCTCCTTCTCCTAGCAATGGACTTTTGTATTTCTTAGCACTCTCTTTGTCTCTCTTCTCACCTAGATGAGACTGTCACCGCCCCAGCACATGCACAGGTGTGCTGCAGGGCTTTAATCCTGACAGAGCCCTGCGGTACATCTGCGTACGTGCCAGGGGTACCTGGTATTAGACATGTGCGATTCATTTCATTACGAACTGAAATTTGGATGAAATGTTCGTTATTCGGATGTATCCCAATCTTCAAATCACAATAGTAACAAATTTCAACAAATCCAAAATCAATTATAACGAAAACAACAAATTCATTTGTATTCGTTTGTTTGCAACTTCAGGAGAGTTTTTTAAGTTTATCACTTTCCTACTGGGCACTTATACCCCCTTCCTGCCTAGGTCAATTTCCAGCTTTCAGCGCTGTCACACTTTGAATGACAATTGCGCGCGGTCATGCAACACTGTAGCCATATGAAATTTTTATCATTTTTTTTAGATAGATAGAGCTTTCTTTTGGTGGTATTTAATCACCTCTGGGATTTTTATTTTTTCTTAAACCAAAAACCACTGAAAATGTTCAAAAAAAAACATTTCACTGATGTGCGCTAATGAGGCTGCAGTGATGGGCACTGATAGGCTGCACTGATAGACTCTGATAGGTGGCACTGATGAGGAGGCACTGGTAGGTGGCACTGATGGGCACTGAAAGGCAGCACTGATACATGACACTGATATATGGCACTGATAGGCGGCACTGGCTGGCACTGATAGGTGGCACTGATGGGTGACATTGAAAGGCAGCTCAGATGGGCACTGATATGTGGCATTGATGTGCACTGGTAGGCACTGATATGTGGCATTGATGTGGCACTGACGGACACTGACAGGTGGCACTTCTGGGGCCACACTGATCATCAGTGCCCTGATGATCAGTGTACATGTTCCCTCCGAGGAATGCCGATTACCGGCTCTCCTCTCCTCTCGAGCTGTCAGTGTGACAGCTCGAGAGGAGAGAAATGCCGATAACCGGCATTTCCATGTTTACATGTGATCAGCTGTGATTGGACACAGCTGATCACATGACCGAGCCGACATCTTCGGCTCTTTCCGTGATCCGCTGTGTCCGAGGGACACAGCGCACCAGTGATCGCCACGCATGCGCGGTGAGAATGGAAGGACATCATATGACATCCTATCAGAACGAGAGAACCACCTTGCGCCCGTCATTGTACTATATGGCGGGCGGAAGGTGGTTAATAATATTGTCACACTCGGAATTGTTATGATTGGCTAAAGCCAAAGTCATGCAAAACATCAAAATCACAACCAAGATGTATCAAAATCGCAAGCAAGTCCCATCCAAAAGGCGCAAGCAAGTTGCATCGAAGATGCTGGCAAGTCACCAAAATAACATAACGAATTAATCCAAATCTTCCAAAGTAACTTCCAAAAATACAAATGGATTTGGAACAACAAATATACAAAAAGAGTCTGAATATACAAATTGTGGAAGCAAATAATTCTAACATAATGAATATGATGAAACAATATGATTTACTTAACGAATGAATCAAAAACAAAACTAATTTTTTTGTTGTGCACAGCTCTACCCAGTATCTTCGCAAGCAAATGGTTTTGCTGTGTATGCGCAAAGTGCAAAATGGTGGTACTCCAGGGGTGGAAAGGGGGGGGGGGCAAAGCCGTTTAATGAGGAAGACCAAAGACCTGCTTTAACCAATTCAGCTCCAGAAGATTTACCCCCCTTGCTCACCAGACCATTTTTTGCGATATGGCACTACATTACTTTAACTGACAATTGCGCGGTCATGCAACACTATACCCAAATAAAATGTATGTCTTCTTTTTTTCCACAAATAGAACTATTGTTTAGTATTTGACCACCTCTGCGATTTTTTACTTTTTGCGTTATAAACTAAAAAAAAAAAATAGAGTTGGAAGTGCAAAGTCACATATATATATATACACACACACGTTTTTGCAGAAGAGAGCCGTCTTATAGCACTGAAACTGCTATAGGGCGGATGGAAAGGGGTTAAACAAGGACTTTCAAAGCAAATGCTCTTTAACCCCTTCCCACCAGCACCTACCGGACTTTTAAGGAGGTTTCAGACACCAGGAGGCGAAGGCGGGCATTTCAGTCATGTGACCACCGTGATTGGCTACCACAGCAGTTACATGATCGCATGTAGAGATCGGGAGCTGTTGCCAGCCGGTAACTGCTCCAGGATCGCACAGGGCACATGCTCCCAGCACAGCATTGTATACATTTTGGTACGCATATAAGTGGCCTCTCGGCATTAAGGCCCACCCGCCGCGAAAGGCCACATATAGGTGTACAGCCGGCGTGAAGAGGTTAAATGAAGGCTGTGGAATAAAAAAAGATTGAAAAAGATCTTTGAAATGACATTAGCATGTTATGTTAAATGTTGGCTTTCTCTATACTTTTAATCAACTTCCCCTTCCTGCCCGTCATGTAGCTCACAGATAATGACAATAGGAGTCTGTATGTACACACAGAGTGCCCTGCCACATCCTCACCACTACCTCTGCCATAGCTTCCTCCTCAGCCTTGGGAAAGGTGGGGTACCTCAGACGTGTTGTGGAACCACAAGCCCCAGCCTGCCCTCACACACTGCTTTTGTACCCCTCTGCCCCGTCAGGACGGCTGGTGCCCCCAATTTTCTTACCACAGATCTCGCCTCTGACTTCCGGGACCGTATTGCCGAGGATTCCCCACACCGAACTCTTCTGCCGGGGCCGCCAGTCTAAACCCCCCTTATCATAGCCCTCCTCTCACGGATAAACTCTGCCGGGATTTCTTTTTTTGTTTACAACTTTTTCTGTCACTAAATATTCTTCCGGTCCTCCAGCCGTGCACCCCAGGCTTCCGCTCCTTGCTACTACTTCCTGCTTCCTGTAGTCATTACAGGAACTTCCGGCTGTGACATCATTGGGCGTGAAGCAAGGGCGCCCTGGTTACCGGAGTCTCCTGTGCGATGGTGAGGCGTCATGTTGGCGTCACGGAGGCATTCTTTGGCACTTAGCTCATTCAGCAGACGATCTCTGCGTTCTTACGTACTTATTTCAGGGGATGGGATTATTTTCATTCGTTACAGATAAAGGTTGCTATTGCAAATAACAATTGTCATAGCTGACTGGCAATGGAGCTTGTATGTCAATGATTAGTCAACTGTAGAAGTCCTCATGCACACTGGACTGTTTTACAGCTGCTGTTTTTGATGGGTTTTTTTTTTTCCAGCCTGTAAATTCCCCAGCATGTCATCCTATGTGTCCATGCACACAGACTGTAAGGCCGGCCATAGACTGGTCGAAAATCGGCAAATTTTTCTTTTAAAAAAAACGAAAAAATCGGTCGTTCAAGCGGCCGACGTTACCAGCAACGATAAAAAAATTGGCCGATTTTCATCCCGTCTACAGCCGGCAAAAAAGTGTCCCTGCAGAGAGCTCCGCTATTTCTTCTGACAGTTCCTTGACATTTATAGCGGTTGCAACAATGTATTTATTTGTATCCATTTAGGATACAGATGTTTTTATTCGGAAACAAATAAATACATTGTTGCAACCGCTATAAATGTCAAGGAACTGTCAGAAGAAATAGCGGAGCTCTCTGCCGGGACACTTTTTGCCGGACTGGAATTCCTCTTCTTCTTCATTCTCCTCTTCTTCACCTTCCTCTTCATTCTCTTCTTCTTCATCCTCTTCTTCATCTTCCTCTTCTTCTTAATCCTCTTCTTCTTCATCCTCTTCTTCATCCTCTTCTTCTACTTCTTCTTCCTCTTCTTCTTCATCCTCTTCTTCTACTTCTTCATCCTCTTCTTCTTTATCCTCTTCTTCTTCATCCTCTTCTTCTTCTACTACTTCTTCTTCATCCTCCTCTTCTTCCTCTTCTTCATCCTCTTCTTCTTCTTTCTCTTCTTCTTTCTTCTACTTTTTGTCTTCCTCTTGCAGGTCACTGCTCATGCGCAGATTTTTTTATCAGTAAAATATCGGCCGATTTGCCCATCATTGCCGCAAAAATCGGCCGATTTTTTTTTACAACTTTACCGATAAAAAAAATCTGCCAAAATACCGAAAAACGGCCGACCATTTAGCCCACTAACGATCCGAAAATCGGCCGATAAATCGGCCAATTTTTTTGACCCATCTATGGCCTGCATAATCAGCGTTTTTTGGCTGGGAAATAAACCCAGGACTAGTGGGTTTCTAGAGATTTTTAACTGTTAAAACGCTGCAAATCTGCGTTTTTGGACTTTTTTTGGTAAAAAAACACGCAAACACGGGAAAACGCCACTAACCGCTAATACAAAACCGCTAAATAAAAACTCAGGTTTTAAACGTGACTTTACACAGCTAAAATTACCAGCATTATCAAAATGCGCCGTGTGCACGGAGAGTTAAAACGCTCTAAGGCTGAAAAACGAGGTAAAATGTCACAAACTGGCGTTTTTGGACTTTTTTTGACCAGTTTTTTTCGGTAAAAAAAAGAAACGTCAAACGCCGCTAAATGCTAATGCAAAAATGCTAAAGAAAAACTCACGTTTGTATCATGACTTTACACAGCTAACGTTACCAGTGTTATTAAAACGTCCACTGTGCATGGAGACTTAAAACGCTCTATGGCTGAAAAATGCGGTAAAAAACGACGCAAACTGGCGTTTTTTTGGACTTTTTTTTACCAAAAAAAAAATTTTTTGGGTAAAAAAAACTGCTGAACGCAAGCACGGGAAAACGCAGCTAATTGCTAATGCAGGAAAACGCCACTAAACACAAACGCGGGAAAACGCTAAAGATAAAATTTTTCAATGTGACTTTACACAGCTAACGTTAGCAGTGTTATTAAAATGCCCTGTGTGCATGGAGACTTAAAATGTTCTATGGCGGAAAAACACGGTAAAATGACGCAAACTGGCGTTTTTGGACTTTTTTGACCAAAAAAAATATTTTTTTGGTAAAAAAAAACGCTGAACGCAAACATGGGAAAAAGCCGCTAATTGGTAATGTGGGAAAATGCCACTAAACACTAATGCGGGAAAACGCTAAAGAAAAGTGTTTTTAACGTGACTTTACACAGCTAACGTTACCAGCGTTATCAAAATGTCCAGTGTGCATGGAGACTTAAAATGCGTGAAGGCTGAAAAATGCGGTAAAATGTCGCAAACTGGCGTTTTTGGACTTTTTTTGACCATGGTCTAAAAAATGCCAATGCGGGAAAATGCCGCTAAATCTTAATGCAAAAACGTTAAAAACTCACAATTTTAACGTGACTTTACACAGCTAACGTTACCAGTGTTATTAAAGCGCCCAGTGTGCATGGAGACTCAAAACGCTCTATGGCTGAAAAATGCGGTAAAACGACGCAAACTAGTGTTGTTTTGACCACAAAAACGCAAACGTTGAAAAATGTCGCTATACGCTAATGCAAAAACGCTAAAGAAAACATTTTAATGTGACTTTACACAGCTTATGTTACCAGTGTTATTAAAACACCCTGTGTGCATGGAGACTTAAAACGCTCTATGGCTGAAAAATGCGGTAAAACGACGCAAACTGGTGTTTTTGTACTTTTTTTTTTATCAAAAATTTTTTTTGGTCAAAAAAAGTGGGAAAACTCCGCTAAACGCTAATGCAAAAACTCTAAAGAAAAACACATTTTTAGCCGCTAATGCGGGAAAACGTTAAAGAAAAACATTTTTAACGTGACTTTACACAGCTAACGTTACCAGTGTTATTAAAACGCCCAGTGTGCATGGAAACTTAAACTGCTCTATGGCTGAAAAATGCAGTAAAACGACGCAAACTAGCGTTATTGGACTTATTTTGACCACAAAAACGCAAACGTGGGAAAACGTCACTATATGCTAATGCAAAAACACTAAAGAAAAACATTTTAACGTGACTTTACACAGCTAACGTTACCAGCGTTCTCAAAATACCCAGTGTGCATGGAGACTTAAAGCGCTCTACAGCTGAAAACGCGGTAAAACATCACAAACTGGTGTTTTTGGACTTTTTTTTTTACCAAAAAAAATGTTTTGGTAAAAAAGACCAAAAGGGGTGAAAACGTTGTTTAAACAGGAAAACACCGCTAAACCCTAATGCAAAAC